GAGAGATTTTGCACTTGGTGAATGTAGGCATGGTTGAAGAAGATATTACGGAAATGCCATTTTGCCGTTTGACAGGAAAATCGTTTTCATGCCAAGTTGCCTGCGGTGATTTTACACTGTACTTTCCGTATTGTATAATTGTCCACCAATTCATCATGATCATGTTTACCCGATGTGAGTCTCGTACATTTTTTTATGGATTCGTTTTTAATTTCTCTCGTATTACAAGTATTGGGAAAATCAAAGATAAGTTAGATAAATTTGGGAAAATCAAAGATAAGGTAGATTGATTTGAGAGTCGTGTAGTACTTTCAGATTAAAAAATTAATTGAATAAAACTTAGGTATTGACAAGAACAAGTATGAATTAATTATGAATTTTCGAACTTTATGTTCGACCAAGAACTTTTCCGGATTCTTATAGATGTGGAAGGAAAGATTGAGATGCAGTCATGTCTTTTTCTAAAATCACGTCTAATTGCGTGAAACATTAGAAAAATGCACGCATTTTTCTGAAAAAAATCTTTAAGGAAAAATCGGAAATTTAAAATTCGAATGAATTTTTTTAACACGGGATTTTATCCAAAATAAAAAATACCCCAACAAGTGGTTCTGCCCCTTGGACCCCCGCAGGGGCTACCGCGCTTTGAACCCTGCTCGGGAGCGCTGCACCCGAACCCGCGAAGGGGGCGCTGTTTCCTTGTAATCTCTGTTAAAATGAAACTTTTATAATAACAAACTCAATGAAATGTACACTCCGCACCACCAAACTTCGTTGATGATTGTTATGATAACATTGGTCAAATAGTTTTTCAATTAAACTAAAATATATAACGACATATATATTCCAATACATTCGATAATTTTATGTCGCAAAACTCACACATAAGTATGAATCGAAAAACTATAATGATGTGTTTGGAAACTCAAATTACGGAGTACTTGTTTGGGAATTCAAAGTATTTGGATTTGGTTTTGTACCAAATTCTTCTAATTCAAAATTATGTCAATTACAAATCTACAACTCTCCCCATGTTATTTATAAATTCAAGTCCTAACTTTTTTTCAATTTATAACTTGTATTAAAAAGTGATCTTCTCATACGCAACAACAATTCCATGCATATCAAGTATTAACCACTTCTGTTACCACCTTTGTTGACTTCAAAATTTAAAATCTTTGAAATTTTATGATTTCCCAAACAATATTTGAAATTTGAAATTATGATATTTCAAATATTGGAATTGAAAACTAAAATTTCAAATGAATTCTTGTTCTCAAACACTACTTAAAAGAATTTAAGTGAATTCCCAAAATAGTACAATATTTTCTAACAAGGTGTTTTCTAACATTAGTTCTCAATAAGTAATAATAATTACCAACGCGGTCTTTTGTAATTGAAATGTATTTTCTAACTAGTTCTCTGTTAAAAATGCTATTAAATGACATTTAAATGGAATGTATTTTTACATTTTCCACAATCTAAACTTAAGTCTTCAAAATGGTCATTTTAAATTAAGTGTGTGGTTGCTAGAAGAACATACCCATCCCGAGTAGGCTCATGGACTTCATTTCAAGAAAACATATATACTTAATAATGTTCAATTTAAAAAATATTTAATTATAAAGGAGCATTTCGAGAACATACTTTAAGTCTAGATTTATAAAATACCAAAATACTTTCTATTTTACTAACATTTAATAGACATATTCGTTAAAGATCATTTAAAAAATAAATCTAAATTATAAAGAATTACACGATGTAAAAATCTATGAAAATACAAAAATAGGATTCATAAGTCTTTTATAACCAAAATAAGAGTTCACACTGCAATTGTTACACTGCCACACTCACCATATTATCACATTGTAATTGCTACTCTAACACCGTTAGACTGTCATCCAACGCTGATGGTTGACTGACCATACAACATATTACATTGTCATCACTTTTCTATCACACTGCCAACACATACTCTTAGACTATATTGTCACTGTACTCATATTTTAGTTTTAAAAGACTTTGGACTCCTATTTTGGTATTGTCATGTTTTTTTTTTGAAAAAATTGTCTCAAATATAATAATCCCATTTCTTCACAGTCCTTCAAAAATAATCTTATTTTTCACTCGCACCGAAAATGATCCTATCTTTCTACATGTGTGTAACTTTTGGTTCGTTTTTAAAAGTCTCACAGCCACTAAACAAAATTTTTGGAAAATAAAAATAAATTATATTTATATAAAAATGACTTTATTATATTTATCTTGTCTAGAACATTTAAAATTTTATTTCAATATATTAATATGCAATATAATTCAAATGAAAATTGAAAAGTAATTCAAGTTCAAAGTTTTTCTAAGTTTAATTCGAAAAGGTCAAACTAGACAAAAAACACCAGACAAATGCAGTATGTGGCATGAATAATTAGAAAAGACTAGAGGTTTTTAACCAGAGCTCACTTGATATGATATAAATTAGACTTTAATCATATATTGGTGGTAAAAAGTGGAGTTGACACTACATTTTTGCAATGGTCTAATATATATTGAGTATAATACTAGAATCAGACATGACAAAAATTAACCTGAATTATTTACACGAGGCCAGACACGAAAATGACCCACAAAAAAATGACCCACAAAAAATGGCTCAAACTCGACCGAATCTGAACCTGACCAAATTGCATGCGTAAGAACTTTTAAAATTATGTGCTTTAATATAAAAATATTATGATAAAAATACGACTCCTTTTATTTTTTCTTATTACTAATTTTTAATGTATGAATTTATATTTTCAAATAATTTTTTAATGACATTACATAGTTATATTACATTTGTTTCAAAATTGGTACATAGTAAATATTTTAATATTCTTTATAATATTGTTAAATATTTCTAAAAAGTAATTAAAGATTCAAAGTATGATATTTTATTAGTTTTAGTATATGTATTTTGATATTTAATTATTCTTTTAATGTAAAATGTGAGTGTTAGTATGATTGTAAATATTTTACAAATAAAATATATAATCCGCTGGGTCAGCTCAAATTCGATGAAACTGAGTCATCAACATAGAGTTTTAACCCGAGTCTGAATTTACTCAAACTTGATGTATTTAGGCTTGTCAAAGGGTCGGGTTCAGGTCGATCCATAGTGTTCTGTATCTTTTAAAAAAATTTGATCATGACCCGTACCTGTTTACCTAATGGGTCTTGAAGTTTAATCCTACATTTGGACTCATTGGATTTCAATATCTGGTTGGGTATACCCGTGATAAAAATTGTTGTCCTTTACTCGTATTTGTCTATAATTGAAAAAAATTAGTGAAAATACTATGAATGAAAAACTTTTTAGTTGAATACAAATAAAAATAAGACTAATACGTTACTGCAACACAAATCAGCCTTCTTTACCAAAAACTCTTCAATAAAATCTTAGATTCATAATCATTCTTCTTGTCACATTCATTCATGTTGCAAAATGATCTTTAAAATATTACAACTAATTCCAATCTATTTATTTTATACTACTTCATAAACTAATATCTACATGCCTCTAATATGGTGAAATAAATATAAATAGATTTTTAAGCCACACAACCAGCAAAGAAGAGGAGTAGCAAAAAAGAGGAGTAGGGTTTGTAATTTTAATATTATTGATTTATTTAAATAGTACAGGTTTTAAATGAGTCAGGACTACTCATCCTATACCCGACTCTTAATTTTTTTAAAATAACGAGTAAGGTTCGAATACAGGTAAACGATATTTTTTATACTCCTAAACCCGCTAAAAAATTATACTACCTCCGTCCCGCTATACTTGTCCATTTTTGACTTTTGGAACTGTTCATCTAAGCACTTTGACTTATCAAATTCTCTCAATGTGTAAGCCTAAATATAGTCATGTGTGATCTTGTTTGATTTGTCTTAACATATAGATTATTAATATATATTTTCTATAATTTTTTAATATACAAATTACAAGATAAAATGAATTAAAGAAGTGTATTGGATGATGTGTAAAAATGAAAGTGAACAAATACTCTGAAATGGAGGGAGTAGGTACTATATGAGTTCGGGTCTATACCCGATCTATTGAGAGACCTAGATGTAACCCAAACTCAACTTATGGATACATTATATGAGTTCGGGTCTATACCCGATCTATTGACAAGCTGGGTCCGATTTATACAAATTTTGGTTCGGACCGGTCCGTGCCTACCCCTAGTACAAATAGCTTAATTCTTGATTAAATAAACTTAAAGCATAGTTTAGAGCATATGCAGTGGCGAGTAATTCATGTTCCTCACCCTGCCACATCATCCACTTACTTATTCCCATTGAGAGGAATGAGCATTCCACCCCGCCGAGCGAGGCATGTACGAGGCATTCATATTCTTTTTTTTGTTTGTTGAAGAAATAGGGTAGGCGTAGGCTATAGCATATGGATAAGAAGGAAACGGATGGATTGCTTTTCTTTTAAACAAAAATGTTTTTACTCCGTATTTTTTTGTAAGGCATTTAAATAAATTGGACAACATATTTTTAAATTTTTTTAATAAAGAAAATTAATTTTTTTTATTTTTTAAATCTTTTTAAATAAGGAAACACAATACTCCTATTTATAAATAAATGTAAATGGAAGTATTTTTATAATCAAATAAATAATTAAAATCATTTTTATTAATTAAAATACATTTAAAAAGTGCAAAAAAATAATAAAAAGAGTGACTTGTCATTGCAAGGCATGGCACTCCACTCATTTGCCACACGATGATTGGATTGATTTTCATTGGCTAAAATACTCCACGTCATTGTGTGGCATTCCATTTCTTACTTGTCATTGCACATGCTCTTAGGAATATTGTTACTCCCTTATTACACTATTACATTATTATTAATTACTCGGCACCCCTTATTTTTATTGGAGTATAATTTCACATCTTGGCATCATCCCCTTCCCTGCACCATATATAGCAAGCTCAAGCTGAAGCTCCATCCACACCACATTCTCTCAATCCCTCCCCTCCCCTCTCTTTCTCCGGGCGGTGGCCATTTTTCTCCCAAGCACAAGCTCCGGCATCTCCGCCCAGAGCAGATCGATCTCTTCATTCCACAAATGGGAATTCGGAGTCTCCATTTCCCGAATCCTCTCTTTCTCGTTCTGGGTCTTCTCCCCCTCGCCCTGGCCGGCCATGACTACGGTCAAGCTCTCAAAAACAGCTTCCTCTTCTACGAGGCTCAGAGATCTGGCTTTCTTCCCGACACTCAGAGAGTGAACTGGAGGAGCCATTCCGGTCTCCTAGATGGGAAAGCCAATGGGGTATATTTATTATTCATTTCACTTCCCCCCTCTTTTAATTTCTTGAAGAAATTGGAGTGGTATGTATAATATTCGGAGTGTCTTTTAATTTTTGCAGGTGGATCTGGTCGGAGGGTACTACGATGCAGGGGACAATGTGAAATTCGGGCTGCCGATGGCTTTCACTGTCACGATGATGTCTTGGAGCATCATCGAATATGGCCGGCAAATGTCCGCCGCCGGCGAGCTTCATAATGCTCTCGAAGCCGTCAAATGGGGCACCGATTACTTCATCAAAGCCCACCCTCAACCCTATGTCCTCTACGGAGAGGTAATTGGTTAATTAACCTCAATTTTAGCATTGATTAATGAAGCGGAAGATTAATTATAATGTTTATGGACATTAATCAAGGTGGGAGACGGAGATACAGATCACTACTGCTGGCAGAGGCCGGAGGACATGACGACATCAAGGGTGGCGTACAAGATAGACCAGAACAACCCGGGATCGGACCTCGCCGCCGAGACAGCCGCCGCGATGGCCGCCGCGTCCATCGTCTTCCGCCGACACGACCCGTCGTACTCGCACCAGCTCCTGCAGCACGCCTACCAGGTATGTTTGTATGGGCGCATTTTATTTTAGATCCGAGCAGTTGTAGGCGGCGCATGTTAGTAGTAGGAGGGCAGGCAGTTAATAGTGGGAGTGATGCTCTGCACTGTTCTGTCTGGAGTTGGTTGTTGTCGGTGTTGGTCTTTTTTGCCCCTTGCATTTATTCTTATGTCAACTTCCAATATTTATTCATCCCAGTGTCATTTTCCATGTTTAATTGTTTTTTTTATAAAAATATTTTACCGCGCCTGTTATTGATTTATTTACCACATCATTTTTATAAAGTAATTTTTGTTAGGTGAATTCTTAGGTGCCCTTAAAAAGGTCATTGATGTCACAATAACTTTGATCTTGTTTGTTGCTTCAACACTAAGATTAATATAATAGTTGCTTACTTATTTAATGGATTTTAGTACACTGGATATAAATACTATAAAAAATTAGGTCTTTTGTAAAAAAAAAATCACTCGTTGAGATACAATTTGATATACTTCTAGCATTACTCAATTTACGAGTAATACTTTAAGTACTACGGAGTATTTATCTATTTTTTATGTGTTGTAGTTGTTGTTTGGTTTATAAAGTTTGCTCATATGTAGGTCTACCATGGATCTAAATTTGAGCAAAATAAATATTTTTTGTTAAATAAGTATTTATTTTTTTAAATAAAAAATAATAAAAAATATTTTTTTATGTAAGAAAGTCTACAAAAATGAAATGTACCCAAAATGCATCAAATAAACACTCCTCCAGAAAAGAGTAACTTAAGTAAATCATTTAGTCAATAAACCTGTGTTCGAGTAAACAATTTTTGTACCCCTTTCCGTCACAAGATATATTGTCCTAGGTTGATTTTATGCAAACTTTGACTATATATTATGAGAAAGATATGAGTAATTTATCTAAATAGGACTAAAACATAATGACTTTTTCAATATAAGACTATATGTTTTTATTTCCAATGTAAGACCTTTGGTTATTATCTATTAGTCATTATTCAAATAAATATCCAGCATCACTTGGATATTATTCTTCTCAGTAGTCATTATTAAGTTCTATTTAAGGAATAAAAAAGTTTAAGTCCTACATTGAGAAATGACTTATGTTTTAGTCCTATTCAGTGCAAATTTCACAAAGATATATCTAATTATATTATGGATTATAAATTTAATACTATTGAATTCGTGTTAAGATATACTCCGTACTAAACTTATAATTTTATACGAAGTGTATTTGAAATTATACTCCGTATGTAGTACTCTGGGTAAAAAAATTGTAATAAACTTAACATAAAAGACAGACAGAGGACAACTTTTTTTGGGAGAGAAGAGTATCACTTTCCACAAGCTTTCACCCTTATTGAAGGGTATCATTGTAATTTCGAAGAGTGAACCCCCATGGTCTAACTACTTGGTGTCTTTTCAGCTTTTTTTACACAAAAAATGCTTAAGAAACACCATGTGTTATAATATGGGTTACACACTTCCACCTAAATTAAATGTTACCTACTCTTTATTACTTTAAGGGATCCGATGAAAGATCATAGGTTTTGTGTCAACACATTTCTATGGAGGAAATAAAAAAAAGGTCATGCAATTATGAAAAATATTTATTGAGTGTGACCACTAGAGAACAAGAATTTTATTTTTTGAGGCATTAGGCATTTTTATACGAAATACATTTTGAGTCTGTTTGGTACACAAAAGTGATAAAATTAGGATTTAAATGGAATTAACATTCAGTAGGATTTAATTGGATGGAATTGAATTCTCAATTTTAATTCATTTTTTGAACTATTAATTCCAAATCTACATATGTTTGGATGGCCAAAAATAAAAATTGTAATTTTAAAATGGAGTATTGTATTTATTTAACTTGTATCAAGGTCTCCAAACGTTTTCTAAAATGTGATTTACATATGTTTTAATTATAATTTACATTAAATTTTTTTTGTAAACATTAGGCAAAAAATTTTCGTAGAATGAAAGTTTAATCAATAACAACGAATAAAGTAATAGGTATTTGAAAAAAGTGATGTAAAGTTCAATTCTGTAAAAATTGACCATGAATTATTTTCTAGAAAAGAGGAAACAATTCCTTTGCCATTCTTTAAAATTTAACCACATATTTCAGTTACACCACAAAAAATAAAATAAAATAAAGTAATGGTTATTATACCATTCAATCCGGCTACAAATCCGGGGAGAAACGTTGAGCCAAACACGTAACAGACGTGGTGGGGCCCGCGGGGGAATAGCTTTAAGCGGTAATCACGGACAGTTTTTCTACCGCGCGCCGTACGGGATCCATCCCCCCTTCTCGCTCCACCAAATCCCTAACCGTCGCTACTAAAACAAATCGTCCGTATCCGCACATTACGCGTTCTGTCATGTGATTGGCCATGTTCCACGAGGTGGACGAGGCGTGCCTGGTCCCCACCCCACCCCCCCCCCCTTTTTTTAAAGTTTGCACCCCGCCCCCCACACTTGACTACTATTTCCTCCCCCCGCCCCTTAACTTTCCCTTAATTACACTGTTGTCCCTCACCTTTCTCTCTTTGGTGGGGTTTGCAGTTGTTTGAATTTGCGGACAAGTACAGGGGCAAATATGACAGCAGCATCACCGTCGCCCGTAACTTCTACCAATCTGTTAGTGGATACAAGGTAAACAGAATGCAGATTACTTTTGAAAAAGCTAAAGCTTAACGCTGTAATTATAAGATAATCTTTTTCAAAATGCTAAAATTGTTGCCGTTTTTTTTATTGGATTTATGCAGGATGAGTTGCTGTGGGCAGCAGCGTGGCTGTACAAGGCGTCGAACAACGCATACTACCTCAACTACTTGGCAGACAAAGGAGATGAGTTCGGAGGGACAAATTGGGCCATGACTGAGTTCGGATGGGATGTCAAATATGCAGGCGTTCAAGTTCTCGTCGCCAAGGTAAACAACCCACCATTTGCATTTGGTGATTCTTTCTTCTGGAACCTATCACGAGCTGCGCGTTTTTTCTTGGTGGTGTTGCAGTTTTTGATGCAAGGAAAAGATGGGGGCCGCGCGTCAGTGCTTGGGGAATACCAGAAGAATGCAGAGTCGTTCATGTGCTCTTGCTTGGGGAAGGGGAACCGCAATGTGCAGAGGACGCCGGGAGGCCTTCTTTTCCACCAGAACTGGAACAACTTGCAGTTCGTTACCAGCGCTTCCTACCTGCTCACTGTCTACTCCGACTATCTGTCTTCGTCTGGCAGAACACTCAAGTGTGGCTATGGAGCTGATGTTTCCCCATCTGAGATGCTTTCCTTTGCTCAATCACAGGTAAATATGAATATGAAATCTATACATATAAGACTAAAACATAGCTCTGAGTACAAATGTCCTGACATGTTCTTCTTCTTCTCAGGTGGACTACATTCTTGGGGACAACCCGAGAGCCACTAGCTACATGGTGGGATATGGAACCAACTACCCACAACAAGTGCACCACAGAGGGTCTTCCATTGTGTCCATCAAGGAGAACCCGGCATTCGTGAGCTGCAGAGGTGGGTATGCCACTTGGTACAGCAGCAAAAACAGCGACCCCAATCTTCTCGTCGGTGCAATCGTTGGTGGGCCCGATGCCTACGACAGCTTCGCTGATCACAGAGACAACTTTGAGCAAACCGAACCTGCCACTTACAACAGTGCCCCACTCATTGGTGTCTTGGCTAGGTTACATGCTGGACATTCTGGCTATAGCCAGCTTCTTCCAGGTATTTTTTTAATTAATTAATTAATTATTCTTTGGTAGTCCATGTTTAGTGATCATTGGGTATTTAGTAAGGTTTTTAAATCTAATTGTTGATGCAATGCAGCTATTCCTTATCATCCTAAGCCTGTTGCCCGTCGTTCTCCGAGACCAACTCCAGCTCCAGGTAATTGCATTATTTCCAAGTTTTTACACAATCAAAGAGAAAATGTTCAGCTGTAATATCTTTCTTTTGATAACATGTGAAATATTCTTGACATGAAATTGAATTTGCAGCTTCGTCTTCAGCTCGGTTTTGGATTCGACAGACGGTGACCAAGTCGTGGGTTAAAGGAGGGAGGCGTTACAACAAATACTTGGTGACTGTGACCAATAACTCAGGCAAGACTGTCAAGAACTTGAAGATCTCTATATCTGAGCTATATGGTCCTCTTTGGGGTCTTAACAAGCATGGCCACTCCTACTACCTCCCATCATGGCTCAACTCTTTGTCTTCCGGAAAAAGCCTGCAATTTGTCTACATCCACAGCGCCCCTTCTGCTGCAGTCGTCTCTGTCTCTGGTTACCGTCTTCTCTAAAACAGCAACAAGAAGAAGACCCATAACCCAAAGCACCGCGAGTTTTTACATAAAAGCCGTGCTGTCTCCATACCTGTTTCTGTTTGCAATGATGTTTTTCGTTTTCTTTTTGTGTTTGGATTTTCAGCAATGGGTGGTTTGCAATATGTGTAGGAGGAGGAGGGGTTCAGGAGGAGAAAGGAGTGAAGAGAGGAATTTAAAATGAGTGCTCATCCTCTTTCTTCTCCCACCTCTTTGTTTGTTAGTGAGTCATATAAATATCTAGTGTTGGAGGTATTAAGAAACCAGGATGGCTTTTCAAGAATAAGGAGCTTGAGAGTCTTTGGTTTGTCTAGTGCTTGGTTTTTTCTTTCTTTCTTATACTTCTGGTGGTGCTGTCATGTTGTTAGCTCAACATTTTATTCTATCCTAAGAATTATTATATAAATATATGAATGTGGTATATTTGAACTTTGACACATCAATCCTTTATTTACTGCTTTTTTAAATGGTAAGATGTGTGTGTATTGACATGATTCTGATTTCTTTTTCTATTTTCTGAATTTTCTTTCCTAAAGCTTTAGGGGGCGCCTCCCGCGTTAAACGGGCGATGACGCCCCCGATGTTACACCTATTGCCAGTGCTCTTAAGATTACTCTGGCCTACGTGTCCACTAGGCAATATAACTTAGAAGAGAGGAGCATGCCTACAAATTTAGAGTACTTTTATGGAGCACCATGGTTGCATACTATTTTTGTGTATTTCCTCATATAATTAATTATAACTTTGACTTATAATTAAATCAAAACTACATAGAATATTAAATAGATAAAAACAAATTTTGAAAATATTTTACAAAACAAATCTAATAAAACTATTCTCGTATCAATATTCAATATAAATTTGATTTATTTAATGGCCAAAATTTATCAATTTTGATTGGAAAAAGTCAAAATTAGATAAAATACTCTATAGCTGAGGTAGTATATTTCAAGTCCTATTCAGGGAATAAAAAAATTTACGTTTTACATTGGGAAATGACTTATGTTTTAGTCCTATTCAATGCAAATTTCACTTAAAATTACCTATCTTTAAATTAATGAAGTTTTCTTATTAATATTTTATGTAAATAATTACTCCTCCGCCCCTAAAAAATTGCATTTTAACTATTTTAAGATCTCGTTAACTTTTGTTTACATATATATTTTCTTTTATTAAATAAAATACCCATGTTACCACTTATTTTTTGAAACTTTGATATAAATTTTAAGTTGTAAGTTGCTTTTTTTGTAGATCATTTTAAAAGAGATGCGATTTGCACAATTTCAAAAAGAGGATTTTTTTAGGTACGCATGAAGTATTATAAGAAATCTATCATCCTAGGAGTAAAATTTAGATAAAATAACAAAAAAAAAAGTTCACATGTTTTTAACCCCAAAATTGGACGAATACGATTCAAAAATTTGGCATTCAATATTGGTATTCCATAGTATTTTTTAAATATCATATGCGTAACTTCTAATTTGAGGATAAAAACTTGAGTTTATTGCACTAACACCCATGTAGTTTGGTAAATGTGCACTATTACCGTTCATGGTTTCCATAACTTACGTTTTTGCATCTCATGGTTTTGATATTGCTCGCCAATGCCCATCTGGACAAAAATATACCTCAAATATTAGATGAATAACTCTATTTCCCTTATGGTTTTGGAAATGGACGTCAATGCCCCCTCTCCTTTTTTTATTGTTTTTCTTTTTTTTTCTTTTAATATATTTTCATAAATAGAAAAAATGTTTGTGTGTGAAATAATGAAAATACATCTGAAGGATTTTGTTATTTAAATGATTTTTATTACAAACACAAAACTTTTGATTATTAAAACATTATTAAAAAATAATTTTAAAAAAAGAAATTAAAAAACATTTATGAAAAAATAGTAGAAAAAAATAAGAAAGAAAAGATGGGGTGTTTGTGCCAATTTTCAAAACTATAGGGGACATCGAAACTATTTACATAACATTTGAAAGATATTTTAGTCTTGATAAGCATTGACGTAACAATATCATAACTAGGAGGGGCAACGACGTAACAATACATGTTTACTAAACCACATGAGTCTTGATGCAATAAACTCTAAAAAATATGGAAATCTTATTTTTGTACTTTATTTATATTTTATTTCTAATTTAGTCTTTTTTTCTAAGTACTTTACTCTCTCCATTTGCTTTGATTATTCTCAGTTTGATTTTAATGGTAAACGTTTTCAAATTTTAAATACAAATTATTTCCTTCGTCCCAGAGTATTTGTCCACTTTCATTTTTACACATCATCCAATACACTTCTTTAATCCATTTTATCTTGTAATTTGTATATTAAAAAATTATAGAAATTATATATTACGGAGTAATAATCTATATTTTGAGACAAATCAAACAAGATCACACATGACTATATTTAGGCTTACACATTGAAAGAATTTGATGAGTCAAAGTGGTTAGATAAACAGTTCCAAAAGTCAAAAGTGAACAAATATAGCGGGACGAAGGTAGTACAAAAGAAATATCAAATTTAAATATAGATTTAATATAGTTAAATTTATTTTTAAACATAATTTTGAAATATTATACTTTTGTACTCTGTGATAAATATCTATATACTCTTTCCATTCCAAAAAGAATTACACTCTTCTCTATCAAACATTACGCAAATTTTTGTTTACTTGTGCATTTTGATTTATTATTTGATAAAATAAAATATTATTGTTACATCTTGTTTTGTATAATTTTTGACGTAGTTTTTAAATATATAAGTGTTATATTTAAATTTTATAACAATCTTTAAATAAAATAAGTTTAAAAAATTTGGAAATTCACTATGTTCTATATTATGTGTAAAACATTTTAGGAGGGATGAAATATAAAATTATTAAATAAAATTAAGTTACGTTTGGTACACGGAATTCAAACCATGAAATTAGAATTAATGATTTTATTTTAATTATTGTTGTTTGGTAGCACAACAATATAAGAATTTGAAATTAGTAGTACAGAAAAATGAATTGTAATTAAAAAATTGAATCCCATCCAATTAAAAGCAATAGAATTTCAAATCTAATTCGTGTGTACCAAACGACTTGTTCAGGAATAATCAAACATTCAAAGTCTCAAACTCGACGGAAGGATGGAGGAGTAATAATTTTACCGTGCTACACGCCCCATGTCAACGGTTTCATCGCTTGGCTAGAAAAGATTTTCAACCTCTTCAACTAGAGGGATCAAGCATTAGTGTTTCACATATTGTGCTCAATTTGGAAGACCCGAAATGACAGAGTTTGGCGGGGTAAAAACTCGACCCCTATAGGTACGTGGCTAAAAGCTAAAGCTCATTTTGAGGAGTGGTGGTCGTTAGCTTCGCCAATGGCAAGAACGCCAGTGGGGGTCACAAGAAGTTCATGGTCAAGACCACGTGATGGATTTGTGAAGGTTAATATTGATGCATCTACAGGCTTGATTGACGATATGATGGGAGTGGGTTTCATCGCTCGCAATGACCTTGGAGTTTTTTTTGGCGGCTAAAAATAAATCTTTTAGGGGCAGCTACGGTCCCAGGGAGGCAGAGGCGGTGGCAGATAAAGAGGCCCTTAGTTGGATCAAATCAAAAGGTTGGATGCAGGTAGAGATCGAAACCGATTGTAAGGAGGTTGTGGATGCACTGAAAAACTCTTTTGATGATTGGTCTTATTTCTCTTTGATTATTACTGATTGTAAATCCCTATTGGCTTCGTGCGATGGGATTTTTCATTTTCACTTTGTATATCGCTCTGCTAATGAGGCGGCGCATATACTAGCGCGAGCTTCTCATTACCTCAGAGCAGGGGAGAATGGAACATTTCTCCCCCTGACTTCATCATTTCATTAATATAATTTTTTTTTTCCCTTTGCTTCAAAAAAAAAAAAAATTTACCTTGCATTGCACGGTAAAATCTTGCCGTGCAAGCAATGGTTCCATTTAAAATTTAAAAGGGGCGGGCTGTAAGGAACAGAACGGACGGAGAAGAAGAAGAAGAATTTATCACAATTTGCGATGGAAAATTGCGGCTTGTTGGTTCGGATGTGCATCGATGCGGCGACTGAGGACCGCGATGCCGTCGAGGCGTGGCGGAGACAGCGGCGCACTCTGGAGCGCTTGCCTTGCGACCTCGCCAACATTCTCCTCCACCACCTCCTCCGCCGTCGCCTCCTCCTCCCTTCTTTACTCGAGTACGTACATACATAGATCGATCTCGCTCCCTTTATTTCTCTACTTGTTTCCCCTCTGTTTATTGGAAAACGATTTTAGCTCACTTCGATTGCAATTTTGATTTGATCCAGTTCTATTTCTATACCAATTGATGAATAAGATCATTTAAAAAAAGATATGAGATTTTGCAATGAAACAAAACATTTGTTTAAGGACGGATGGAGGAATATATTTTTGGGAGTTCTTTTATTTGGAAATTGATAATGATGTGTGTATAATTTCCGCACTAAATTTGAAAGATCTTCATCCAATTTTCCATGTACAGAGTTTTTAAGCATTGCGTGGATGAGGTAAACTTGAAAGGAAATAGCAGAGTGGATGCAGAATGGATGGCATATTTAGGCGGCTTCAACTACTTGCACACACTGAATCTCTCATATTGCCGTAAAATTAGTAGTTCCTCTATATGGCCTATTACAGGTCTGTACTTCATGATTTTTTTGTGCTATTTTCTCGATTACAAGCTAGTATTTGTTGATACTTCATCTTTTTCTTTTTTTGAAAAAAAAGTTCATAATTACGGTTGATTCTTGGGTAATGTTGAAAATTGGTGTCCGTGTCACACTCTAAGGAGCTATAGCCATGTTTTATTGTCTTTGTGTTCTAAAATAGACTCCAATCAATCTTCTAATGGTTCCAGGCATGACGAGCTTGAAGGAACTTGACCTCTCTTATTGCCCAAAGATTACAGATGCCGGAATTAGGCATCTTTTGTCCATTCCAAAGCTGGAGAAGTTGTGGATTGCACGAACAAGTACTACGGAAGAGGGAGTTATTCTTCTCAGTTCATTAACAAATTTATCTGTTTTGGATTTGGGTGGACTGCCTTTAACTGATATAGCTCTGGGTTCTCTACAGGTATCTTGTATGAGTACTTAAACTTATCTTATATTCTTTTCTTTAAATTTGAACCAAAGTGATTAGCCTTAGTTGGATGTGGTTGGAAACTTGTTAAGCCCAATGGATAAAACTTGCATAGCAAAATGGATAAAACAATTGCAAAAAACCTCTTTTTGTCCTGATATAATAGAGTTTTATTTCTTCATTTGTGTGTTGGAATTAATTTTGTAAATGATATCAGGCTCTCACTAAACTGCGATCTTTAGTCCTTTGGGGAACTTCAGTATCTGACAAAGGAGCTTCTGTTCTTAGAAATTTCCGGGAATTGAGTTTCCTGGATTTAGCGTGGACAAAAGTTACGAGTTTGCCA